TCAGGACCAATAATGAGAGTAACAATACCAGGAGGGTAAGGGTAAGGTAGGGTAGAAAGGAGGAACCGATCACAAGGCTCTACATATAACCCCCTCCTTGGGGGGCAGAAAACAGAAAAGTGGGTGAAGGGAGACATTAGACACTGTGAGAAATGAAAAAATAATAATAATTTATAAATTATCAAGGGTTCCTGATGGAGGGGGTGGCAGGGAGGAAGGGGAAAAATGAGGAGCTGATACCAAGGTCTCCCAAAGAGAGGTGCCCCAACAGAGTTCCCAAATTATCTAACAATATTAATATCACATACAAGTAAAGTTTTGCTTAAGATAATTCAAAAGCATTTGCAGTCCTGCATTAACAGGGAGCTGCCAGAAATTCAAGCCAGATTCAGAAGAGGATGTGGTACAAAGGATATCATTGCTGATGTCACCTGGAACTGAGCTGAAAGAAGAGAATATCAGAAAAATGTTTACTTGTGTTTGATTAACTGTGTAAAGACATGTATATGATGTATATATGACATGTATATGATGCAATGGAGAATACCATGGCTTGAGTCAGGCACATCTTTGTCCTCAAAGTAATATCCTTGCTCTTCAATACTCTAAAGAGGTCTGTGCAGAAAATTTACCTAATGCAACTCTTCTTTTGATCTCTTGACTGCTGCATTGATTAATTGAGCTTTGAATGTGCATTGATTATGGATCTAAGCACACAAATTAATTAAAAATTTCAAACTTTTCTCCATTTATTGTGATGTTACCTATTGGCCTAGCTGTGAGGAGTTTGGTCTTCTTTACAGTGCATTGTAATCCATACTAAAGATTGCAATCTTTGATCTTCATCAGCAAGTGCTTTAAGTTGTCCTCACTTTCAGCAACCAAGGTTGTGTCATCTGCATATTGCAGGTATGTTAATATGCCTTCATCCAATTCTGATGCCACATTCTTCATATAAGCCAGCTCCTCTGATGATTTGCTCAGCATACAAGATAAGTCTGGTAAGAGGATGCAACCCTGAACACACAACTTTCCTGATGAAACCACGCATATGTCTTTGTCCTGTTAGAACAACTGCCTCTTGATCCATGTACAAGTTCCACAGGAGCACAATAAAGTGGTCTGGAATTCCCATTCTTCTCAAGGGTAACCATAGTTTGCTATGATCCACACAGTTGAATGCCTTCACATAGCCGATAAAACACAAGTAAATATTTTCCTGGTAGTCTGTGCTTTAAGCCAAGCTCCATCGGATATAAGCAATGATATCCCTTGATCCATATCCTTTCCTGATCCCTGCCTGAGCCTCTGCAAGTTCTCTGTCAATGTACTGCTGCAACCACTGTTGATGATCTTGAGCAAAATTTTGCTTTCACGTGGTATCAGCGATATTGTTCCATAGTTTGAGCATTCTGTTGGGTCATCTGTCTTTGGAATGGGCACAAATATGAAGCTCTTCCAATCAGTTGGCCAAGTAGCTGTCTTCCACATTTCTTGGCATAGATGAGTAAGTGCTTCCAGTGCTTCATCAGCATGTTGAAACATTTCACTCGATATTCTATCAGTTTGTGAAGCCTGGTTTTTGGCTAATGCTTTCAATGCAGCTTGAACTTCTTCCTTCAGTACTACTGGTTCTTGCTCATGGGCTACCTCCTGAAATGGTGAGATGTCGACTAGCTCTTTTTGGCACAGTAACTTTGTGTCTTCTTTCCATCATCTTTTGAGGCTTCCGGCATCATTCACTATTTTCCCCATAGAATCTTTCAAGATTGCAACTTGAGACTTGAGGTTTTTTTCTTTAGTTCTTCCAGCTTAAGATATGCTATGTGTGTTCTTCCTGTTTGGTCTTGTAACTCTAGGTCTTTCCACATTTCATGATAATATTTTACTTTGTCTTTGCAAGCTGTTCTTCATCATTTCTTCCATTTGTTTTAGCTACTCTATGATTAAGAGCAAGATTCAGAGTCTCTTCTGATGCCCACGTTTATCTTTTCTTTCTTTCCTGTCTTTTTTGTGACCTTTTGCTTTCTTCATGAATGATGTCCTTGATGTGCTCCCATAGCTCATTGGGACTACTGAATTCATGTTTAATGCATCAATTCTGTCCCTTAGATATTCCCAAAATTGAGGTGAGATAGATCCAACGACATATTTTGGCTCTTATGGACTTGTTTTAATTTTCTTCAGTTTTAACCTGAATTTACCTATGAGCAATTGATGGTCTATTCCAGCCAGGCCTTGGCCTGCTTTTAGTTGCTGATGTTGAGCGTCTCCATCTTATCCATCTGGAGAAGTCGCTGTGTACAGTCACCTTTTGCATTGTTGAAAAAGGATATTTACTCCAAATAAGTCATTGGCCTTGCAACATTCTGTCATGTGATCTCCAGCTTCGTTTCTATCATAAACAAGAAAGGGTTGGCTGCAAAGGAGCTCATACAATCTCTTTGTATGTCCTTTGGGCAACATGAGACCTAGAAGAGTCTCCCTTAGCTCCAGGACCTACCTTGTGGCATGGCTCTCTTAGGGACAGGCTCCACAGTTCTCTGAGTGACTGCCTTTTCACATGTAGATTGCCAGACTTTTCTTCTGAGGTACTTCTGGTAGACTCAAACGGACATGAACTGATGGTGTTAAGTAGTTGCACCATCCAGGGTCTCACCAGGGAACCAACAAATGACGCATAAAGAACACAAGATGGTCTGCTTGATATAAAAAACATAAATGGCTGTTTGGGGTGGTGGTGGTGGTGATCACGTTGCTAGAATGTCCTTGACTGTCAGGAATCACTCAGTCATAGATGAAACAATTCATCCCAGAGGTCGGGTAACTCTGGGAGTCAACAAGGGTAACGCGAAATTTTCAAACAAAAGGAGGAAAAGGCCAAGATAGGAGGTTGAGAAATGCAGCCAACAAACAGAGGAAATGATCATTGCCAGACTTGTCTTGAGTGTGCACTTCCCTAGGAGCCCCGAGAGCCCCAGTGTGTACACTCCTTCCGTGTCCTAGCTGGCAACAGCACAGTGCTGTGTCCATGAGGGGTGTCACTCATACATCTGCATTAAGTACAGAATATTTTGCATGTACGTGGACACAAAAAAGTGGTAGTGAGCTTTAAGAAATGTTTAACATTAATTGAGTGGCAGAGCAATATAGGAAATGAAATGCTAAGAATGTGTTGGAGTGCTTCTATGATGCCGAGGAGATGAAAAGTGTCTTCTATGTTGGTGGCAGGTCTGGGGAAGGGGCGGCAGGCGCCATGTCGGGCTGCGAAGGTGGCAAGAAGCAGCCCCTGAAACAACCCAAGCAGCAGAACAAGGAGCTGGACGAGGAAGAGAAGGCTTCCAAGCAGAAACAGAAGGAAGAACAAAAGAAACTGGAGGAGCTAAAGGCAAAGGCCACAGGGAAGGGGTCCCTGGCCACAGGTGGAATTAAGAAATCTGGCAAAGAACTAAGCTGTTCTTGGTGACTGAGGCAATGGTGACCTTTGATTCCATTCCGGTGTAAACATCTGGATTCCCTGCTACAACATTTGCTGACACTTATAGTTAGAATGAAGTGCTGTCTTGGAGCCTGCTGTACATTTAAGAATAAACTTTTGTAAAAAAGAAGAAAAATCACACAATGTTTTAGTTCTTCTCGCTCAGCCATTTCTGTCTTAGCTGTGAGGTCAGAGTGAACCCAGTCCAGAACCTGCCAGAGCTGCTCCCCAGTCTTTGTGATGCCCAGCATTCTGGACCATCTGGAATGAAAGCAACTCATTGGGAAAAAAAAAATAGAAAAATGTCTTTCTATAACCAAATTGGTCAGCAAAAACGTTAGCCATTATAGCAAAATTATCTGGATGCTGTACCTGTTGTGAAACGATTACTGTTGGATGAATCAATGAATTAGCCAACCATAGGGATTCAATAAATATTTGTTCATTTATTGAGTGAGTGGATGAATGAATAGACTTGGGGGATGAGAGTTGTACAGTCACATAACAATAAACTCTCATAATGAGCTGCAGTTGTACAGTTTATCGCTCACATTAGGACTGAAGTCTGGAACATTCTACTTTGTCTTCTTATCACCTTTTCTGAGTTTTTAAATAAAACACACAGGAGGGCAAGGAATATAGGACAACGTGTATTTGTGCAATCCCTTCTCTGTCACTTTTTTTGGTGGTTCTTTTTAAAAAAATTGTTTTATTAGGGGCTCATACAACTCTTATCACAATCCATCCATACATTAATTGTGTAAAGCGCATTTGTACATTCATTTCCCTCATCATTCTCAAAACATTTGCTCTCCACTTAAGCCCCTGGCATCAGGTCCTCTTTTTTTACCCTCCCTCACCACTCCCCCCTCCCTCATAAACCCTTGATAATTTATAAATTATTTTGTCATATCTTGCCCTGTCCAACATCCCCTTTCACCCACTTTTCTGTTGTCCATCCCCCAGGGAGGAGGTCACATGTAGATCCTTGTAATTGGTTCCCCCTTTCTAACCAACCCTCCCTCTACGCTCCCAGTATCGCCACTCACACCACTGGTCCTGAAGGGATCATGTGCCCTGGATTCCCTGTGTTTCCAGTTCCTATCTGTACCAATGTGCATCCTCCGGTCTAGCCAGACTTGCAAGGTAGAATTCGGATCATGATAGTGGGGGGCAGAGGAAGCATTTAGGAACCAGAGGAAAGTTGTATTTTTCATCGTTGCTACATCTCACCCTGACTGGCTCGTCTCCTCCCCGAGACCAATGAGCTATGGGATCTCCAGTGGTCTACAAATGGGCTTTGGGTCTCCACTCCACACTCCCCGCCTTATTCGCTATGGTAAGATTTTTTGTTCTGATGATGCCTGATACCTGATCTCTTCGACACCTCGTGATCACACAGGCTGCTGTGCTTCTTCCATGTGGGCTTTGTTGCTTCTGAGCTAGATGGTCACTTGTTTGCCTTTAAGCCTTTAAGACCCCAGATGCTATATCTTCTGATAGCATCACCAGCTATCAGCTTTCTTCACCACATTTGCTTATGCACCTATTTGTCTTCAGCGATCATATCATGGAGGTGAGCACACAATGATATGATTTTTTGTTCTTTGATGCCAGTTAACTGATCCCTTTGGCAGCTCATGATCACACAGGCTGGTGTGCTTCTTCCATGTGGGCTTTGTTGCTTCTGAGCTAGATGGTCACTTGTTTGCCTTCTCTGTCACTTTTATCCTCATCTTGCATTCCACTTGCACTCAAGTTGTTTGTTTGTTTTTAAAATAAATCATTTTGTTGGGGGCTCTTACATGTATTATAACAAACCATACATCCATTATCTCAAGTGGTCATGTACAATTATTGGCATCAACAATTTCTAAACCTTATCTTTCTTCTTGAGTCCTTTGATATCAGCTCCTATTTTTTTCCATCCTCCTCCACCCTGCCATCCCCACAACTCTTAATAAATTGTGTATTGTTATTATTATTTTTACATAACATACACCGTCCATTCGATCCCTTCAACTACTATCCTGACCTTCTTCCCCTCAGGGGGCATTGCTATCCATTTCCCCCTTCCCCGCCTTCCTCCCCCTTTCTTCCCCCTATCCTCCTGGAATCTTTGCTCCCATTACTGTTTCTGACAGGGTTTGTCTTTCCTGAATTCCATATATTGAAAGTTCTCATCTGTGCAACTGTCTGTACACTGGTTTAGTGGGAATTGTGAGATTGGACTGGAGGAAGTACTACGGAATTAGAGGAGTGTTGAGTATTTCATCGTGCACCCGTCTTGTTCACAATCACTATTTTCTGCACAGAAACAGACTGCCAAATAGTTCTCCCCAGGAGTCACTGGTAGGTTTGATCCATTGACCTTTCAATTAGCCACACACTAAACCACAGCACAGCCAGGATTTTTTACCCTTACCTTAGTGCAAGAAAGGGCACAGAACCTTTTCAGTGATTCGAAATTTGGACATGTCACAAATGAAGTGAATGTGATAGAGAACTTGTTGCAAGTAAGGGTTGGTACAGGAAGCCCGGTGCTATAGTGAGTTACACCTTGGGCTGCCTATGAAGAGGTTACCAGTTAGAAAGCACCAGCTGCTCCGTGGGATAATGATGAGGCTTTCTATGCCCTTAAAGCAGCGGTTCTCAACCTGTGGGTTGAGACCCCTTTAGGGGGTTGAACAACCCTTTCACAGGGGTCGCCTAAGACCATAGGAAAACATAAATATTTCACAATATATAATTACATACAGTTTTGTGATTAATCACTATGCTTTAATTATGTTTAATTTGTCACCATGAAAATACATCCTACATATCAGATATTTACATTATGATTCATAACAGTAGCAAAATTACAGTTATGAAGTAGCAATAAAAATAATTTTATGGTTGGGGTCACCACAACAGGAGGAATTGTATGAAAGGGTAGCGGCATCAGGAAGGTGGAGAACCACCGCCTGCAGGGGTCGCTGTGAGTTGGTAAGACTCAATGGCAATGAGTTTGGTGTGGTTCTGGGGGAGGTTGGTGCAGTCACTTCATAGGAAGGGTACGTTTACGTTACATTCAAAGTCAAGGTGAAGCAGGGAGTGCCAGGCAAGTACTGTGAGTACTTTTCCTGAAATGTTCAAAGAACTGTGGAGGAGGGAGGTTATTTGCTAGATTCAATATTTAATAGAGATGAAACTGCCTTACTTTAGTGGGGGGAAAAAAGGCCTGAACAAGACCTATATTTCAAAAGGGGGCGGGGGATGACACCAGGACATAAGTTATCAAAGGATAGGCTAACATTATTACTTGGGGGTAACACATCCAGGGACTTCAAGCTCAAACATTTGCTTGTGTATCACTCCTTAAATCCGGGGCACTTTGCTGTATCATGAATGCACGTCTTCCCATTATGGGGAAGGCAAATGTAAAGGCTTGGGTTACAATTGCCATCTTTATAAAGATTGATTCCTATACCTTTTGGTCCTTGCTTTTAAACATTATTTCTTGGCTGAGCAAATTCCTTTCAAGATTCTCCTTGTGTTAGACAAAACACCCAACATCAAGAACTTCAGATGACCTTCACCTCAATGTGAACTTTGCATTTCTACCCCCAAGACCACATTGCTACTTTCCCCAGTGGATAAGGGAGGCCTAGTCTCCTCCACAGCACATTCTGCTTGGTGTTGTTCTGAAAATTCCATTAAAATATGTTAATTAATGAATGACAATTTTTACATATAATTTACACATCATACAATTCGAGAGTTTAATCACATGAAGAAGAGTTGTACAGCCATCACCACAATCAGTTTAGAACATTTTCTTCGTTTCTGTGTGCATTGTTATTAGCTCCCCATTTCCCACTAACCTCCCTGTCATCTTCCCAAGGAACCATGAATCCAGTTACTGTCTCTATAGATTTACCTATCCTGAATTTCATATACCGAAAAACATTTTTTAAAAATAGAACTAACAATAACAAAGTAAAACAGGTTTTAGAAAAAAACCTCAATAGAAAAGAAAGAAGAAAATATTAAAGATTAGAATAAATTCTAAATGGATCAAAAGGGAGATCAATAAGGTGTTAAATTTTAACCTAACTGCATCTGCCACAGTCCACTTTCCATTGCATTGTGCATGACGGCATGGGTTGAGATGTTTTCTTGATGTGCACTTACTCTTTATATAAAACTCTCTCTTATACATATGGGTTTCTGTAGATTTGTTTCTCTAATGTACCCAGACTAACACACCATTCATATAGCTGTGGTTTATATATGTCTCTGGTTCACCTTAGAGACATCATTATCATTATACATCAGAGAACTTTATCAGTGGTCCCCATTCAAGTCAATGCTGACTCACAGCGACCCTATAGGACAGAGTAGAACTGCCCCTTGAGTTTTTGAGACTGTAACTCTTTACAGGACTAGAAAGACTCATCTTTCTCCCTCAGAGAAGCTGGTGGTTGCAAAGTGCTGACCTTGCAGCTCAATGTGTCATTAGTTTAGCCAATGGTCTAGAATTACAAGCACAGTTAAGAAAAGGAAATTATGTGAATATAGACCAACTATGAACCATAATAAATGAATTGTTGACTTGTGCAGATTAAACTCTTAAGTGATTGAACATCATTTACACCAACAATGGGAGTTGGTGATAGGGAAAACTTTAAATAATATTCATTCATGGTAAACAAGTGGCCATCTAGCTCAGGAGCAGCAAAGCCCAAATGGAAGAACACACCAGCCTGTGTGATCATGAGCTGCCAAAGGGATCAGTTATCAGGCATCAAAGACCAAAAAAAATCACATCATTGTGTGCTCACCTCCATGATACAATCGCTGAAGACAAATGGGTGCATAAGCAAATGTGGTGAAGAAAGCTGATGGTGCCCGGCTATCAAAAGATATAGCATCTGGGGTCTTAAAGGCT